CACACACACACACACACACACACACACACACACACACACACACACACACACACACACACACACACATACACACACGCACGCACGCGTACGTACGCCCTCACCGTCGTGTACTTGCGTTGCACACCAGCTGATCCCGCACACGCACTCGCTGCACGCCGCGTGCCGTCTTGGAGACGTTGAGTCGGCGGAGAGGCTCCTTGATGACGAGGGATACAGTCCAAACATCCGAAACGAAAATGTGCGTTAGCGTGCACTGCACGTGTTGCGAAATGTGCCATTGTGCACACTGCATTGTACGAGGAAATGCCGATCTCACAAGTCGTGACAACGGGCTGACAATCCGTGTCCCTGTTTGCCTGCATGTACTTCTGCGTCTTGGACTGATGAAACTCGCTTGGTTGTTCCTTTTTGTGCATGTGCGTTCATGTGCAGGGCGCTACGGCACTGCATGTGGCCAGCAAGCACAACCAGATTCCGATTGTTCGTCTGCTGCTTCGCCGCGGCGCCATGGTGAATGCATATGATCCTCAGGTATGGTGGGTGGGTAAGTGAGTTAAAAGTGGTCGACTACTGCCCTGAGGACGTTTGTTTTGCTTTGTGTTGCTTTCTCTGCTGTTCGTTCTGCTTCTGCACGCTTAAGACTATTGTGATGCTGTGCTTTCCACGGACTGGTGTCTTTCTCAACTGAAGGGGTCATGCTGTTGATTGTGCATGCATGCGTGACATTGTTGATTAGGGCGACACGCCGCTGCATGTTGCATGTCGGCAGCACAACTCCGCTGTCGTGCAGCTCTTGCTCAACGCGGGTGCAGATGTCACGCTCAAGAACAGCCGGGTATGTTGACAAACACCTGTGCTTTTGTGTGCATATGTGTGTGTGTGCGTGTGTGTATGTGTGTGTGTGCATGTGTGTGTGCAAGTGTAAGTGTGTGTGTGTGTGTGTGTGTGTGTGTGTGTGCAAGTGTAAGTGTGTGTGTGTGTGTGTGTGTGTGTGTCTCACGTCATTCACAGTCATTCAAAGTCGTCATTCATCGTTGTCTCCCTCGTTGCCTCTCCCCCCCCCCTTGCTTCCTTCTACTTCCACCCGCAACCGCACCCCTCCCCTCTTCTCGAATCCCTTCATCGACAGGGCGGCACGCCTCTTGCAGTTGCGAAGAAGCGCAACTTCACGACCATCGTCACGCTGCTGGAGCGTCCATCCAGCCCCATCCAGCAGCTGCCGCTTCCGCCCCTGCCCAAGCCAACCCCTGCCCACCGCCACCACATCTACTCCAACAAAACAGAGACTGCGTAGTGACCATGTTTGAATCAATGTGTCAATGTGGTAGTGTTACTGTTGTGAAGTATGTGACACGATACCTGCTGTTTTGCTGCTTCCTCCATCTCTTACTTGAATGCTGTGCCTTAGTGTGAATAATGCTTCTGGTCCTGAGCTTTGCTTCTGCCGTCTCTGCTCTCTCATGGTTTGTGTTCTTCGTGCTTTCGTGGGTCCTTGAGGGGTTGCACTGCTACTGCATTGTGTGCCGCTGCACTGTGTGTGGTCCTACTCTATGGATGACAAAGATTTCGATTGCGAAAGAAGGTCAGCAAGCAAGCAAGTCGCGAAGCGAGTCGGGTGCGAGGAAGCATGCGACATGAAGACATGAACTTTGGATGCCCAGCAGTAACAACATTCATGGGACACAACAAAATCGCTCCCACACAAACAAAGCAAGAGAGGATGTCGTGGTGGGTTGCTGGTGCGCGTGTGGGCAGCGGGAAGCTGCCGGTTCTGGCGTTGAGGAGAGGAGGGGTCAGGCTTGGTGTTGTCGCTGGTGCGGCTGCCACGGCATCAACAAGGGCGATCCGTGCCTTTACCTCGTTTCCATCCGACACACCAGGTGTGTGTGTGTGTTGTGTGTGTGTGTGCGTGTGTGTGTGTGTGTGTGTGTGTGTGTGTGTGTGTGTGTGTGTGTGGGGGTGTGAGTGCGAGATAGGGATTCTGAGTTTCCCCCCGCACAATGGAATTACATGAACTACTTTTTTTTTTTTATTTTTTTAAAGATGGTAAACATTGTCAAAAAAATGACAAAA